AAATTTTGTTGTCAAACGCCAAATTTGTCTTAACTTTTTTGTTGCTGCGGTGTTGTAGATTAGAACGACTTTGGCCTACTGCTGCCTCTCTGCAATCTACTTTGATCTTCTTATAGTACTATATTTCTAATTCTACTCGTAGTAAATCTTTTGTAGCACATAGACTTACTGCAGTGAAGTGATTTTGATAATGAATGCTAGATATAGCAAAAAAATAAGGTTTATTCAGAACAGATCAGTAGCAACCTGACAATATTTGACAAAAAAGCGGTTAATTTTTTGTTCTAAATTTTGCAAGAAAGACCGCATTTTATAAAGAATTGTTCTACAGTATCCTAAAAACAATTAAATTTTTAAACAAATTTTATTAATCATTTTTGGATGTCTAAAGCGTTCGAGAATTCCACGAGAGAAAGTGTTCGTAACAACATTATCTCTAAAATCTTTTGTGTTGTACAGTTTTTAAAACTAAAAACTAAAAACTTTCGTTTCTTAACTTCATCTCTCTGAGTGCTGTTTGACAAAAAACATTTCAGAATACAAATACGGCTGCTCAATATTATTAGGGCTGCGTTCAGTTGTTTAAACGCTGAACATTACAGTTCTGTTCTAGCTTAATCTATAGATGAAAAAGTTAATAAAGCAGCTTAAAAGATGTGTTATATTCTGCTTTCTGCGCTAATGTTTCAGATAAACAAAGAACTGTTATATACTTTTCTATACTTTTCTTTTGCTGTTTTTGCCTCTTCCTCGCGATGCCAACTCAATTAAGTGCCAGTTTAATTTGTTTTCTACAAATAAGCCTATTTTGCAGAAGTGCCGTATTCAGGAGGCCCACAATCAATGGGAGAGTATGAACGTTTGTTTTACTGTAGTTTCCTTGTGGTTAAGTATTTCACTTTTTTTCAAAATTTAATTTCGCTAGACAGAATATGTCAGCAAAATAATTAGAACGAACAAAATGACTGCTACAGAAAAAATAGACTGTATTCGTATAATAAGTGTTCTACTATGATGCATAAATAAATAGATATTCGGTTAAATCAATGTTTTATTTGTAGAAAAAGAGACTGAATCGGAAAGCTACACAATTTTTGGACCTCATAATCATGGTAAATCTATGCAGCCATTATCTGCTTTCGTATATTAACAGTCTAATAATTCTTTTTCAGTAAATATTAAAATCTAACACTTTACATATTACCCAGTTGATTGAATTTGTTGCCAAATAGTGTAATAGCTAGTAACCTTAATTACAGGTAGAAGCGTTCACCGGCAAAGTGTGAATCATTCAAAACATTATGAAAACAACAATTTTGTTGTTTCACGTTCACTCAGGTATATCAATGATCTCAGCAGAACAGCTGGTGCGGGGACGATGTATCATTGAGCAACAGTCATCAGTGGTAAAATTTTATTCGACGATCTTTGATCGACGAAACAATAAGAATGCGGCACTCGTTTTCATTGATTTGTTCAGAATAGCAAAAGTTTCTGTGAAAACTAGTTTTTTTTTAATGTTACAGGCTTTTTACATAGAGTTTTTTTCTCAATAGAAGTCAAAAATCTCGCTAAAACACTTCTTTTTGATGCAAAAAAAA